ATTAAAAAACATATATACATATACATACATACATATACACACATACACATACACACACACATATGTATCTATATATATATATATATATATATATATATATATATATATATATATATATATATATATATATATATATATATATATATATATATATATATATATATATATATATATATATATATATATATATATATATATATATATATATATATATATATATATATATATATACATAAGGAAGGAAGGAAAAATGAATAATATAATATAATATAATATTTAATAAAAGCTAAATTGTCCAACATGGATCAAAATAATGATATATCAAGGTGCAATCATTTGATTGATTCAGCTCCATTTATAGCCTCTTAATGTACAGTATTATATGTAATAAATTATTATAATAATAATAATAATAATAAATAGTATAATATTTATTGTCTTTTACAAATAAAACATTTAAACTAAATATATATATATATATATATATATCCATGTTGGACAATTTAGCTTTTATTAAATATTATATTATATTATTCATTTTCCTTCAGCTAAATCCCTTTATTAATCAAGGGTCCCCACAGCGGAATGAACCACCAACTTATCCAACATATGTTTTATGCAGCGAATGCCCTTCAAGCTGCTACCCAGTACTGGAAAACATCCATACATACTCATTTCACAAACATATACACTACGGCCAATTTAGTTGATCCATTTCACTTATACGGCATGTCTTTGGACTTGTGGGGCAAACCGAAGCCTTCAGAGCAAACCCATGCCAACTCGAAGAAAACATGCAAACTCCACACAGAAATGTCAACTGACCCAGTCGGAACTTGAAGCAGCAACGTTCTTGCTGTGAGTGTAAACCACTGTGCCACAATGTCGCCCAACATTATATTATATTATATTATATTATATTATATTATATTATATTATATTATATTATATTATATTATACCAAAAAAAATTACTGGCAAATGGGATGCTATCTAATTTAAGTAATTATGCACTAATGTGCACATTTTTTCATACCAGAAATCTAAATATTCTATAAAGCCAAGGATTGTTAACATATTAGAGTTGACTGTTTGTACAGCAGGGGTTTCAGATATTCATAAAAGGCAACAGGAAAAGAAAAATCACCATGTTATATAAATCAGGCAACTGAGCAAGGAAAAATCCCCCTAAAACTTGCAGAATACAGACCAGATTCAAACTGAAATGTTTTGAATATGCAAATGCTGCTGAAGAGGAGATTTCTCATTCTGCTTTTATTCTGTAATGGAAGCAGAACAGCTCGCAATCTCAAAACTGACCAGTGCATGAAAAAGCAATAGTTTTGCTTGCCTTTGAAAATCTACACGCTTGAAAGATTGAAACAGAATAATTTGTAAAAGTGTGAATAAAATATGACATGAGAAGTCTTGAAATATACTGCATAAAGGCTGCTTAAACTCTTCTGGACGAGAATCTTCCAACATTTACTCATTCCAAATACATAAAGCTCTAAAATAAATAAATAAATAAAGAACATTTAAGTTAAGGTGCTATTTATTTATTAAACTAGTTAGTAGTATTAATTAACTACATGTACTTATTGTATGGTTAGGTTTAGAATGACAATTAAACAACCTTTCCACTGAAAAAGTAGGGGTTTACCTTTTTAAGTAAGTTAATTAGTTACCCAAAAATACACAGTGCATACATTTCTCTATGAATCAGCAAGTTAGTTAGGTAGTATATATGTATGTATGTATGTATGTATGTATGCATGTATGTATGCAAGTAGGTTTGTAAGTATGTATTTAAGTATGTAAGTTAGTAGGTTAGTAAGTAGGTCAGTATGTAAGTTAGGTAGTATGCATGTAAGCATGCAATTATGCATGTATGCAAGTTAGTATGTAAGTTGTATGTATGCAAGCATGTAAGTTAGATAGTTTGTAAGCAAGTATGTAATGTGTGTATGTGTGTATGTATGTATGTATGCATGAACGTTGGTAAGTTATTTAGCAAGTATGTAAGTTAGTTAGTATGCAAGTAATAAGTAGGTATGCGAGTTAGTTTGTAAGTTAGTGTGTATGTAAGCATGTAAGTTAGTTAATCTGTAAGTTGGTAAGCAAGTATGTAAGTAAGTTAGTTAATCTGTAAGTTGGTAAGCAAGTATGTAAGTAATAATGTATGTATATAAGTTAGTTAGTATGTATGTAAGCATGTATGTATGTATGTATGTATATATGCATGTATGCATGAACGTTACTATGTAAGTTAAGCAAGTATGTAAATTAGTATGTATGTAAGTTAGTATGTAGGTTAGTACGTAGGTAAGTATTTAAGTTAGTATGCAAGTTAGTATGTGTGTAAGCATGTAAGTTAGTTAGTATGTAAGTTAGTAAGCAAGTATGTAATTAGTTATGTAAGTTAGTATGTATGAAAGCATGTATGTATGTATGTATGTATGCATGTATGTACGTATGACCGTTAGTATGTAAGTTAGTAAGCAAGTATGTAAGTTAGTATGTATGTTAGTTAGTATGTTAGATAGGCCATAGGTAAGTATGTTAGTTAGTATGTAAGTTAATATGTGTGTAAGCATGTAAGTTAGTTAGTATGTAAGTTAGTAAGCAAGTATGTAATTAATTATGTAAGTTAGTATGTAAGCATGTATGTATGTATGCATGAACGTTAGTATGTAAGTTAGTAAGTAGGTAAGTTTGTGAGTTAGTATGTAAGTAAGTATGTATGACTGTAAATATGTAAGCATGTTAGTATGTATGTATGTATGTGTAAGTTCGTATGTAAGTAATATGTAAGTCAGTAAGTAGGCAAGTATGTAATTTAGTTAGAACGTAAGCATGTAAGTATGTAATTTAGTTAATATGTAAGTCGGTAAGTAGGCAAGTATGTAATTTGGTTAGACTGTAAGTTATTAAGCAAGCATGTAATGAAGTAAGCTTGTATGTATGAAAGTTAGTATGTAAGTTAGCTAGTAAGTGATTATGTAAGTTTGTTTGTAAGTTAGTATGCAAGTCAGTCAGCAAGGTAAGTTAGTTAGTATGTAAGTAATTATGCAAGTATGTACGTAAGTTAGTAAGTACAGTAAGTTAGTAAGTAGGTATGTAAGTTAGTTAGTATGTTAATAAGTATGTAAGTAATTAGTTAGTAAGCACATTTGTTAGTAAGTTAGAAAGTAAGGAAGCTAGTATGTTAAATAAAGAAAGAAATGAATGAATGTATAAATAAATAGCATTAAATACATGTAACATATGTACAGTAACAAGGGCACCTTAAAGCAAACTGTTAAATGATCAGTTCTGTGTGAACTCTCCCTTTAAGAGGAGAAGAAAAGGTTCAAGCAAACATGAGGTACACTGGTTACTTGAGTACAGAACATCCCTCCTGCAGAAACACAGCATCAAACTAAACATTTGCACAGACATTTAGCCAAATATTATGATTCTCATTGACAGACATTGCAGGAGTTTGTTAATATTAAAAAACATTAAAGAACAGGAGAATGTGTGTGTTGAGTTGCTGTATGGAAATGAGCGCTGTGTGATTCCTGCTCTGAAGTTTTCAGCCGTTTACACTTTTGATAAGAGAGCCGTGTCGGCATATAGAGGCTTTCTGGATGAATCTTCCTCTCAGTGGGGAAGATCACCCAATCAGCACATTTACGCAAGTGAGAAATCATCATAGGGGCGCAGCACAAAGAAATCAGTTATTGCAATATAATCCAAACTAAATACAACTGGCTGAATGTTTCCCTTCCTTATGTGGAGCTAATATGCTGTTTGGCTGAAACTGAGTGTGACTATATGTTTGGCTGAAAATGGCATATAAAGGAAGACAGGCACACACAGGCACACACATATATATATATATATATATATATATATATATATATATATATATATATATATATATATATATATATATATATATATATATATATATATATATATATATATATATATATATATATATAGTATAAATATAGTGTTTGTATAGCAGTGACATTTCAACTATTTTTCAACATTTCAATCAGCTAGATTTTCTCTAACCTATCCAGCTAACAATAAATAACAGATTCCTTCTAGAAAAGCATTTGTCATTACCTTTGGTGATTCAGGTCACATGATTCATATTTTGCACTTCTTAACTTCCGTATTAATGTGCCCTGCTGTTTTTTATGCTGCACTGTGGTACTTTTTAGAGGGCAAACATTTCAGTGCACGGACAAAATTTTGCTATTGAGACAGCACTAGCGACCTGACCAGCTAAACAAGGGTGCTGATTGAGACCCACACTATCTTTGTTAAGTTTCTTTTGGGATATTGGATATTGTTTAGTTTCACTTCCTGCTGGACATCAAGGAGATTTATCCAACACCTCCAACATTTTAGAGCAGATTAAGTCACTCAACACATCACAGGGAAATCTATTGAGATAATCCTAAGAACCACCATGATAACTGAGACATTACCGAAGATTATCAGAATGGAGAAATAAGCTCAAAGTCAGCCCAATCATCTTGTGAGCCTAATTGATTGTGGTATTGAATTCCACTGACTCTCCATCATTGTCTGAC